CTTAAATTTAGTAACAATTATTACATAACATACATTTTCTCAAAATATTAAAATATTAATTTAATAAAAATACAATTGTTTAGAACGGAGCAAAAAATGGCTCACTTAAGTGATGGGACACCATTAGATACTACAAAATCGTACTAACAATAAAAAATATCTTTTGGGGGTTTTATTTTTACTCAAAAGCAATTGCCAATAATTTATAAAATCGTCTGCAGTATTTCTCTCCAGTTTGTTTTGGAATTTTTTGTGTTTTTTAGCTCTGTGCAGCCATGAATGCTAAACGAAAAGAAACTTTGCCTGGAATTCGAAAATTAGTTATTAATTTGCATATTGAACGTGGAAAATCTATTAGAGAAACTACTGAAACAGTTAACTTCAGTCATTCAACAGTTTTCAATATCATTAAACGATATAAAAAGAATCATATGATTCAGGATAAAAGAAGACCTGGCCGACCATCAAAGCTATCCAATGGAATAAAGCGAATTATCGTTCGAAATATTAAAAAAAAATCCAAGAATGAGTGCTCCTAAAGTTGCTGCTGATTTACAAGCATTATATGGAGTAATTGTTATTGCTGAGACTATTAGAAGAGTAATTCGGTCTGCTGGATATCACGGTAGAGCAGCCAGGAAAAAATTCTTCGTAAGTGAAAAGAATAGAAAACTCAGACTGGCTTTCGCAAAATCCAACATAAATAAGAATTCTGATTACTGGAATGAAGTTATATTTGCTGATGAGAGTAAATTTAATATATTTGGGTTCTGACGGTAGAATCTTGGTGTGGAGAAAACCCAGGGAAAGAATTTCGCAAACAGAACTTGGTGCCAACAGTAAAACATGGTGGAGGAGGAGTTATGGTATGGGGGTGTATGTCGTCCGCTGGAGTTGGTAATCTTGTTTTTATTGACAGTATAATGGAATCAGTACAAGTATATTGACATTTTAAATCAAAATTTGAAATCTTCAGCACGAAATTGAACCTTCATAACGATTTTTAAATTCTACCAGGACAATGACCCCAAGCACACTGCTTTGAACGTTAGACTCTGGCTGCTGCATAACTGTCCTGAAATAATGAAAACACCACCACAATCTCCAGACTTAAATCCCATACAGAATATTTGGCAAGAATTGGAATCAAGAATTCGCAAAACACACCATTTCTTCAAAACAACAATTAAAATCGGTGCTTCAAGAAGAATGGGGTAAAATCACTCCAGAAATCACAAAAAAATTAGTCGAATCCCTCCCAAGAAGATTAAATCATGTTTTAAAAGTAAAAGGAAATCCAACAAAATATTAAAACCTTTTAAAAAGTAAAATTTTTTGGATAAATATTTGATGGGAAAGTAAGTGTCCCATCACTTATGTGAGCCATTTTTTGCTTCGTTCTAAACAATTGTATTTTTAGTAAATTAATATTTTAATATTTTGAGAAAATGTATGTTATGTAATAATTGTTACTAAATTTAAGTTTGAAACACACCCACAAAAAATTTTTACATTTTTTTTTAATTTATTTTACTACAGTTTCATTTTGTAAAGCACAAGTGTCCCATCACTTTTGTGAGACACTGTATATACTGGAGAAATAAATTCTATAAGTCATTTTCGCTTTTTTTACCTTTGGGCATTAAATAACTGTACCGCCACGCTTAATTATGGACAAACCAGTAATTGTAAGCTACCTTTCTTCTCTTTCAACTGCGTCTTACGAAAGCTCTACAAATCCTGCTTGGAATATACCTTTAAGTGCGAGCACTTCATTCTTTTAGGTTAAAGTTCAAATGATTCGGAGTAGTAAACAGGTGAACGCAGACGATGCGCAGTCACGGAATATAGCGAGTGAGCGATCCGTGCATGGATATTTTAAGTTTATTATGTTCTAAGAACGTGTCAATTAATAATTTTTTCCTTTGTTCTTCGTGACGTCACGATGTTCGAAGGCAGGTGCATATATCCGTGGTTGCGTAGTAGCCTTTTTATTTTTTTGAGATTGTAACAGATACATTGGTACCAATAGTAAATGCGAATTAAATTTCGTGATTGTTTTGAAAAGGGTCGAGTGATTCATCAGAAATGTCTAGAAAGCTTTCCGCATTTTTTGAGTCTTTCTTATAAATCTATTAACATTCTTAGAAATTCTTGTATTCTCGATTATATAGCTACTTGATAAACAGTTGTTTCGGATACTAGTATCCGAAATGTTGTAATTTATATGTTAGCTGAAGCTAATGAGAATTATATAGATTAACGCTTAATCATTTGCATGTACTTAGTTTCTGAAACAGAAAAGGTATTTCAGAAAGAAGATGGTAGTATATGTTTTTGCGAATAAATATGCAAGTCAGTTTATTGTTTTAAGCACTTAAGTGTGTATTATATGTGTTTATCTTGATTTCTTTCAAGAAAAAAACAATTCAAATTTCCTTATGAAGCCTTCTTGATATTTTACCGATCTTTTATTGAACCTCACTCCGTAGTCAAGCAACAAATCTCAGAACGCGCTAAATTCAAAATATAGTGGACAGAATAATTTTTCAAAATTAAATGGGAAAAAAATATATTCTGCACTAGGAATTAAGAAGACAAAACAATCCTGTAGAGAATGCAACCAAACCTTCTGGAAATTGTTGAAGAGGAGGATTAAATAAAACAGTGGAAGTAAAGGAACGAGCGCCCAGATAACGAGATGTGTTAATCGAATTGCATTATCAAACGTTTGAGCTACGATCTTTGTAAATTAATCAAGGCCACTCCATGCTTTTATTATTCGTGATGTAAAATTGTAGATTAATTTCCTAAAAAAGCTATTAGAACTCTTGCTCGTTAAACAATTATATGATAAATTATTTTTCTTTTGTTTGTTCATTAATTATTTTATGAGTTTTAAATAAAAGTTTATTTTATAAAAAAAATACCTTACTACTTCCTTGTACGAAGTAAAGGAAGTATTGCCACTGCGAAAATTTTCAGGCATCATATTTCAACGGAAATATCCATTTGACCGATTCGGAATCCAGTAGAACAATTTTTTTCCGTGACATCCGCACAGAATAAAAGACTTCTTTCTTTTCCCAAAACAGATAGTAAAATGAATTTAAAAGGTTTTCGTGATGTCTCTACGTACGTACATATTTATGGATATCGCATAACTCAAAAAAGATTAGCCGCAGAACGTTAAAATTTTGTATATGGGACTTCTATAACATCTAGTTGTGCACCTCCCTTTTTAATTGCAATAGGTAGCACCAAACGTGTGTGTATATATATATATATATATATAAATAAATTTAGAACCAATTTTTCACAAAGGCCAAAAATTGAAATTTAAATAAATTAATTAATTAAAAAAAATCCTATACATGTAGAATTGGAATTCTTTAAATGTTAAAAGAAAAATTAAAGTAAACTATCACAAGAAAAACCAAAAAAAGAACATGGAAGAAGAGGAATCCAATTAATTCTAATCCCACCGCCCTTCCCCGGCTTGAAAGTCCTTACCCGACCTTTATTTTCGCAATCGTACAGATCTAATTGTAGAAATGTTTTAAATTACTAAATGCTGTCACCCGATTCGTATACTTGAGAAAGTTTTGTACTTGTTATAAAAAATGAAATTATGAGAAGTTTACGACACTCTACTACAAAAGCTGACTGGGATATTTAATTTCAAATTTGCAATTTTTTATGTCATTTGCAACAAAACTGTGTATAATTTAATAAGCCGCACAAGGAATCATCCGTTGTTCACGTTAAACTTTTTTTTCTTTTTTTCGTGAAAACAAAGGAGATAGGTGTTAAAAAATTTGATATAACGCTGCGTTTTGGTTTTGAGGTCAGCCATGTGCATTTTAAATGAGTTCATTGGATAAATTAATTCATTGGAACACTAGCTCGGATGCAGCTTCCATGTGAGAACCTTCCCCTTCCCCGAAAATAAGGAAAATTTGGTAATAGTTATAGGTATGCCTCATCAGATGGTAATGGTGTAGAACAGGGTTTCTTAAATTGTGTCGTCTGCAACAGGTGTCGCCAAAAATTTTAGCTGTTTAGATATTTCTTTAACTGATAATAATTTTATAATTACTAAATATTTTTACACAATGTATCGGAAAATAGATAAAGATAAGTCAATACACACAAAGAAAAAAACATAAAAATTTCGACTCATTCTTTTTTATAATATAAACGTTAATTTTACTTGCTTTGCACGTGACGCTGTCATTTCGTCTGTTACTTATTTAAAATTTTCACATTGTTCCATGTCTTAAAATTAGAAATTAAAGTTAACGACCTAAAACTTCAATAGTATATTACAGTACAAGTGAAAAAATTGGCAATTTCTCTCACGCGTGTGTCGGATTTGCGCAATAATTATGGTGTCCCACAAATTTTTGGTAAATTTTATGGGTTACTGGGGGTCGCGAAAAAATCTCACTAATAAAAGGAGGTTGGGACTGGAAAAAGTTTGGTGTAGAAAATTCACAAAATGCATTAAAACTCTTTTAACTGTAATAGAATTTGGCGGGTAAACAGTTAATGGTCTATCATTATGCTCAAAGAAAGGCGCTCTATTTTGTAAAAAATATCATGATATTTTTGTAAGAAAGGCAGATTGATTTAATTGAAAATAATAATTATTAATTTATTCATTTTACCAATGAATTAATTATTTAAGGTTTGTTAAATATAGGTGAATTTTATTAATAAAGATAGTAATGAATTTAATTGATTTGTTTTCCATACACATTTAACTCGTACGCATACATACATAAAGTATACTGTTATTTTGCTCAAATTGTTTTTTTTTTCCCTGTAAGACAATAATTACGAGAACTCCCGAAAAATTATAAATCTAATAGTCTTTACTTAAAAATGTCTATGTCAAAATCTGAAAGATTCAGAACTGGATTTGTATCATGCACCTAATCATCTCTCACTCTGATTGTTCATTTTGTTTGACTGTGACTCTTTTTCAACTTTTTCAGAAAGCTGGAGCGATCGCTGCCCTCACAGAGAGCTATCTGGGATCCCTGTACAGACCTTTTCCTCCCGTCAGAAAGCAGCTGGCCGAACAGGCCTTGGCCAGATGCCAGGATGTAGGACAGGACACATTCGAAGCCCATTACCTTGGCCCCACTGCTCTCTTCCTGAGGACTGTCCGGGATTATGTAAGTGCCAATATTTATTTATCTATTTATTTTTTAAATTTCAGTTTATCTACCTTAGAATCTGTATCGTATCAATCCTTGAAAAGAACCAGATGCAGCGTAGAAAGAAGGCCTGTGGCGCTGATAGATAGGGATAGCAGCAGCAGTTGTCGAGGCCAAATTGAGCATATTTTACTTCTTGAGAAACCTGAACCAACTGTTGTATGTTTATGAATCAGCGGTACATCATGTTGTGACATCACTTTCTGCCAACAACATTACATGTACATATACAGGTTCAGGTCTGTAAATATTGTTCCTAGACGTGCAAACCCAATTGCAATGCTTTCTAAAATAAAAAAGCAACAATTTCAAATACTTAGGAGGAGTTTTCTATAAAATTACAATCTGAACTTTTGTGCCATCTCCGTTCAACAAAATTCCACCTAGTTAAGTGCAAAAATTAGCATTCAATAAATGCAAAAAGTTCTTATCCGCAGAACTCAAATAGATATTCTAGAAGAATTATTTAATTTTCCAGAGCTTATTAGCAAAGAGAATTCACAATTATTTGACTAAGTTTAAAGAAAACTGCAATATAAATTTTCGTTTTGGTAGTTAATGATACCTTATCTCGTAAAATGGTACTCGTTATTGTTGTGTGAGCAAGAAAATAATTTTGGTCTGCCCAAATCTATAGCGTTATGTTCATTTTGTTTTTCTTCTGTCAATCATATATAGTATATTGAGCTGACAATACAATATTAGGTTGCTATAGAAATAAATTCCGTATATTTTTGTTTACGGCTGTTAGTGTACGGTCAGTTTTAACATGGGGTACAAAAACAAACAGTTTCGGCATATTTTACTTCATAAAGGCAAGAAAATGGAAAAAGATATGTGCAGTCTGCGGTGCTGATTGGTTAACAGAACGCACGTGTCGAAACTGGTTTAAAAAATTTCGTTCCTGAAAAATTTTTACTTAAGTTCTCGGCTGCCTTCTGAAGCGATAATGACAAATTAAAGCCTAACTGAATCGAATCGTCATATAACTGCGCAAGATGTAGCAAAAAGGTTCAACGTATCACACGCAACAATTCAAAATCACATAAGATATCTTGGACTCGATAAAAAACTCAATATTTGCGATACGCATTTCAAACGTAATGCAGTCGACCTTTTTTTTGGAAACGAATTTATCACTGTTGATGAAGAATGGATTGTCGACAATAACATTAATGGAAAAGGTCACATGGTCCAAGCATAATGAATCGGCACAAATCATAACGAGAGCTAAATTTAAAATTGTATCAGAAAAAGATTCTGCTGTCAGTTTGGTACGATTACAAAGGGGTTGTGTATTTTAAGCTGCTTCCAAGCAACCAAACGATCATCTCGGATGCTTACGGCCAATACCTTATGGAATTGGAGAAAGCAATGAAAGATTAGAGGCCAGAATTGGCAAATCGCAAAGGAACAGTGTTTCACACTACAGTGCGAGTCCTCACACATCTTTAGTAGCAACACATACGAAATTATTGGAGCTTGATTTGGTAAGTGATGTTATATCCCGCATTGCCCCATTGAATTATCTACAAAAATCTAAAAAAGTCTACAAAATATCTTAAACGGTAAAAGTTTCAGTAATAAATTGACCTCAAATCCCACTTGAGTTTTATGCTGATAAAACCAGAAGTTCTACAAGCGCTACCAGAAAGATGACAAAAGGTCATCGAACAGAATGGAAGATATTTGACTGATTAAAGTTAATTTTTGTGTAGAAAAAAATGAGTTTTACTTCACACTAAAAAACCGAAATTACTTTCTTTCCAGCCCGATAAATATGTACTGTAGCTGCGGATGAGAAAGTGCTTATCAGACATACGTTTGTATTTTTTTTTCCCAATGGCAGATTGTGAACAATTACAAATGTAACTCAGTCCATTAATCTATACAAGGCCGGATGTGGTGGTCTCTTTATTATAGAGGCACCTAATAAGTGGGCCACTATCGCCTGTCGTATGAAGGGACGGACAGTTACAACCATGCTTTCTCCAGGATTGGAACCCAAGCCCTTCGGGCATCGCAGTCAGCTTCCCTAACCACTATACCGACTGGGCGACATATGCTTGTATTTGATGTATTGAAACATAATACAAATTTCACCGATTGGAAGGTGTGATATGCCGAGATCAGTATCATTCAACTCTTATTTTGAGAAATTTTGTAATTAGAAATGTTTGTGTCTAGGAAGAAATTTTAAGGACTAAAACTTGCAGCCCTTTTCTTTCAAAAATCCGATGAGGGATTATGGCTGCAGCCATAATCCCTCATCGGATTTTGAAAAAAATTTCCTAACAATTTTTGCCTCAAAATTTTGCTGGCAAGTAATCAGGTTTAAAAATCTGCTGTGCTGTAGTCCAAATATTAAAGATGGGTTTCGAATATAAGTTGTTCGCACATGTTTTCAACGATTGTAATTAAGAAAATAACTGATATTAATGAAGCATATCAAAATTCTTGGCAAAGTTTTTACAGTGAGGAATACGTTATTGTCTGCTGAAATTAAACTCAGAATGACTAATATAAGTAAATTTTCGGTAGACGGTTACGTTCCTTTCGTCCTCAGAAGAAAGATATTCTTATTTTTTGCTCCAAAATCATGCAAGAACTTTGGAATCAAGGTATGTAATTGAACAATAAATATTATCATTCATAACAAAAGAAAAAGAGCCACAATACCTTTTTTTTTCAAGAAAATAGGATTCTGAAAGTTTATCGAAAAAATGTGACTTCAAAGACCATTTCAGAAATAAATTTCAGAGTCTTCAGTAAATCAGTATATTTAACAGGCAATATCATCACCATTTTAAGTCTGCTTTTATTGTGAATAAATAGACAATAATTTGAATTTCGAATAAATAAATAAATCTACATAAAAAAGAAAATCTGAAAGGTTTCAGATTTTAAATTACGTTCAAAGGAGCATTTTTTTTTTTTTTTTTTTTTTTTTTTTTTTTTTTTTTTAACATTTTGTGTGTTACCTGTATTTGTTAAATATCATGTTCATCGTACTTAAGCCATAAAATTCAGTTCAAGAGCAGTATCGCAAAATAATTTTAAATTTAGCATATCGCCAATACACAGTCTCACGCACTGGAGATAAAATGTTTTTTTCTGTACAACGTTGCCATGGCTCGCTTTGAAATCCTTGAGTTTATTAATCAAGAATTTGTTAAAGTGTTGCAAAATATGAAGTCGATAATAAAACAAATTTCAAATTTGGGCTTCCAGATGCTCATATTCGCAGTAGGATTACGTCATTCAAAATTGGATGGCTCTAAGTACCGTTGTTTTATCACAATGCGAGGAACATACATACATTGATGCAGATTCTTCATTATTTAATTTCTTCATTTATAATACAGGGCAATGATATTTGGTGGCAACAGTTTGGAAAGTGAAACGGGCATTCAGAGTGATTCGACGCAAAATCGCAAAACGAAAACAATAGACCCTCAGGGACAAAGCCCCTTTGGACTAAAAAAGCAAACAACTGCAATGTTTATATTTTTAACACCACCTGTTTGAGGGGTGGATTGCTACAGCTTCAAGATTTATACTGATAGTTAATTTATTTCTGTGTTTTAGTCGCGCGAATTCTTATTGGGTCAGTCGAAATGACAAAAAATTCATAATAGCAGCTTTAGGAATTGCGGGTTACGCTTCGTTTAAATTGCTTCAGGAGCACAAAAGAGGAGGAGTAGGAAAGTTTAGTTCCACTGCCGAACCGCCAACCATATCCTTCGAGATAACCTCTTGTTTGTTCGCATTAGTGCTAATCCATGAAGGTATTCGTTATGCAGTTTATCATCATCATCTTAAGAGCAAAAGAGTTTAAAATAAGAGCTCTGGTTTGATAACGAGTATATTATCCGTTATGTGTTTGCAGCTTTCTCTTTTCCATTCATGATAGATTGAGGCTTTCAGATTCCTTCAGTTTAAGTGTCACACAATTTTTTATTAAAATTTTGAGGAAAAATTGTTACCATTTTTGATTTTATATAGTAATGGTATATTACTGTAATTTATAAAATATTTTCATTTTCTATTGTTTTAGTTATTTGTATCCGGAATTCATAAATCAGTTGGATGGAGATAGATAATGGTTTTGTGATTTAAAACACTCAAGATTTATATGAGCATGGGTTGGAGGTTTATTGGTATTGAGGTAAATCAGAGGTTTAGTATTCAATTTATCATAATAAATAGGGATTAGCTTTATTCATCAGTCGCGAACTACCAGTTGATCGCAACATGCTTTAGAATTCGAAAAATTACTATATTATTTTCTATTTTTCTCGCTTTGTAAATCAAAATATCGTTTCCCCGTCCGGAGAAAAAACTCACATTCGTGAAAAGGTTGAGCAGTCTTATACTATATTATTAGCCCAAATGGGCTATTTGCCCAGAAGGGTTACTCTTAATTTCGTTTTGGCATTTTACGTCGTCCACTATAAAACGGCTTTTCATTTTTCAAATTGTTGCACCAAACATTACAGCCCTGCATTTTATTTAAAGAAATTGAATAATGAAGAATCTACATGAAGGTATGTATGTTTGTCGCATTGTGAAAACAGAACGGTACCTAGAGACATCAGATTTTGAATAACGTAGTCCTGCACTCGAATATGGGCATCTGCAAGCTCAAATTTGGAATTTAGTTTATTATTTATTTCATATTGTATAAAACTTTGACGAAATTTTGATTAAAAAACTCAACGATTTCAGCGCGAGCAATGACGACACTGGACCCGGGGAGGGGGCATTATTTTTATGTCCAGCGCGTGAGACTGTGTATCGAAAATTCTTAAGATATGCTCTTTTTAAATACTGTGCTGTTGAATTGAATTTTCTGATTGAAGTGGGAAGAACATGATATTTAATAACTAAAGGTAACGCACAAAATGTTAAAAAAAGTCCCTTCGGGTGTAATATAAAATCTGGACTTTTTTTATTTT